AAAGTCATTTAAAATATTCTCATTATTTATTCAGTTAAAAACAATTTAGTAACAAACACATAAATGGACAAAAAAAATCACCACAAACATTTGAAAAAGAAAATAAGTATTCAGATTGGTCTTCAACTTACCTTGTCCCTCAACAGTGGCAACCCATAAGATTAACGTGACATGGATGAGGAGCAGCATAGTGGATCAGTTCAGTTGTATCCCACCAAAAATGTTCCAGCAATGCCGCTGTTGATTTAAATCCCACTTTCATGAGCAGGAAGGAGCATGACTTCCAATTTCAGTGCGCTAACGGGAAGCTGGGTTAGTACTTCGGTAAATATCAAAGTTCAGAGGATTGTAAGAAATAACTAAATAGTATGTTCCCAGTGTGTACTCTAAAATTGTCATTTTACTTTTTTAACAATATTAATCATGTCTGCTTTTCTTTTTCTGGTAGTGACTGGGTCTCTGAGCCTGTGTGCATGTAGAAATGTACATTTGAGGCAGAAAGATAAGGCCTGCTTGTCTTCTTTTTAGTTAAGAAATCAGCTGCTTCAGAAGACTAGCAAATGTGGGTTCTCTGACTTCATTTTAATCCAATATCATTAGCAAATGATCAGTCTTATAGGTGCTAGATATTCTTTTTAAGACAGGCTCTAAGAATTAAGTTCATTCTTAATAGCCTCAAATATATATATATATGAGAGAGACAGAGAACATTTACTAAGTTTTAAACAGGACAAACACAAAGACATTATTATTATTTGGATGAGGGAAACCATTAGCATGAAGTCATAATGGTGCCTGAGAATTTGCTAAGATTCAGAGCATGTTTTTTTAAAAAGGAACATGGGAGGGCAACAGAATTGTCAAAAAGTATGATTGGTGGCAGATTGATACATTACAGTTACAGGTTGGACTACAGAAGTGGGAATAAACCATGGTTTGGACACATGTTATGTTAGAAAAGCTTACAATATTAATCCAGCAAAGATAGTCAAGGTTTGACTGATAGGGCATGACTCTGGACTGGGCTGGCATGTTTTCTTAGTATACAATATCTCTTTGACATAAAGCTCTGTCTTACACACATGTGAGTATTTCTGGATTTGTTTCTCTAGTCAACCCAGTCTAACACACCCTGATATGAACAAAGAAAATCCTAACACATTAGAATGACAGTCGCAGGTTTGTCAGAATAATACATATCTTAATACAGCATACAGAGAACTGACATAGCGAGACCTTATTTGTCCGCCTACCAGCAGTTCTCCAAAATGGATACAGCTGTCTTCTGCTTCCTCAGACGCCTGGTATTTTCTGATCTCAGTCCTCCAGTTCTAGGCGTGTCTGAGGTAGAGTCCAATTTACCCCAGCGGAATTCCTGTGTGGCATCTCATTGGTGCAGCCTCTTGAGCATGCTGTATGCCTTGAAGATCTAGGATTCAGTGTCCCAACTCACCACAACACCCGGCTGGTCCCCAGGTGCAATCAGAAGTCCAGGTCAATGTGGTCCTTCTGGTGCATGTCCCAAAGGCCCTCCCCACCTAGTGTCACCCAAAGTATTTTCAGTCATTCTTTCCCAGATCTGGAAATCAGTCCCCCATTGTTTCCTACAACAGAAATGCCACTGCATACCCTAGCTGTATTTGCCCCGTTTTTCCTCTCCTGCATTGTTCTTCCCATCCATACCCTTCCTCCCTCTGGTAGGGCTGTCTATCTGTCATGGAAACCTCATCACAGATATACATTTCAGCCTCATGTTATTTATGCCCAGCCCCTTTCCCCTCTCTTGACCATTTGATCCCTGCTGATGTGAGGCACTCTCTGGCCTAGTGCTTTCTAAATACTTACCCACTCCAAATGCTTACCTGCAGCAAGTGGTGTATGGTTCCTTAGCACTGGTCAGGCTCTCTGCCAGGCTGTCTGGTCCCCAGTTGATAGCCTGGATGCCCTACAAGGCTGGCCTATTTTGCTACTGAATGTTAGAGCTGTGGGCTCATACAGAATTTGTCCTTTTGTACTTGATTAATTTCACTCAGTAGAATGACTTCCAGCTGCGTCCACATGTTGAGGTGTTTCTAGGGCTCATTGCTCTTTGTAGGGATGTGTAATATGCACTGTGTGTATATTCTAAGGTTTCTTTATCCAATCATCTACTGATGAAATTTTTGGTTGTTTCCAGCTTCTTGCTATTGTGAACTATGCTGCGATGATGTCAAGGTACCCAGAAGAAATAGGACAATTGGGAACTGATTATGGAAGCACTGATACAATTCTGCGTGATGAGATTGAAGGATTTAATGACATGACATTTGATAATTCTCAAGTAAGAATAAATTAAAAGACTAAAAAAGAAGCAAGCAAATAAACAAACAATCCAGGAATGGTTTGGGGACTCACACTAAATCCCAGCTCCAACTTAAGAACAGCTAGTTTTATATCATGACTTTGTTCAATACTCGTCTCTAGGAAGCGAACATGGAAGAGACGGGCGCTAGAGCAAAATGTGGTGAAGCAATTAGATGGTGTCAGGCTGTCTGATAAAATAGTATCTGGAGTCTTAAAAGCTTGTCTCCCAACAAGCAGCAAACATCTGTTCATGATCTGCTTCTTATTTCCTTTAGGTACATGCCCAGTAATGGTATCGCTGGATCACGTGGTATTTCCGTTTTCATCTGTGTTAGGTATTGCCATATTGACTTCCACAGTGGTTGTACGTGTCTACAAGACCCCCAACAGTGTTCCAATCTCACCACACCCTCTCCACCATTTGTTCTCAGTTTTTAAAACTTTGGCAACAGTTATAGGTGTTCGGTGGTATTTCATGGTTGTTTTGGCTTGCATCTGAATGACAAATGAACTGGAGCGTTTCCTCATATGTGTAGAAGCCATTTGAATGTCAATTTTTCTGAATTGTCTGTTCAGTTTGGCCACCTTCTCAGGGGATTATTAGTTTTGTCTTGTTGTAGACTTGTAAGATACTGCAGATTTTAATAAATAGTCCTTTGTTGTGTCATTACTACATATGTTTGTCCCGTCTGTGGGCTCTCTTTTTAATCTTAATGAAGGGCCTCGATGGACACAAGTGCTTTATTTTTAATAGTTCCTGCTAATCTATTTTGTCTTCCATGGGATGTGCTTCCTTTGTTTTCTCTATTATTTGGAAATTCCTGAACTAGGATACTTAGATTTGTTTTATTTTTCTCATAAATGATGCTGATAGCTTTGGATTTTATAGTCAAGCCTTTGCTCTATCTTGAGTTTAGGGCACAAGGTGATATATGGGTCTTGTTTCATTCTTCTTCAGGTGGATTTCCAATGTTTCCAGCACCATTTATTGAAGAGGGCATCTGCTTCCTATTCAATGCTTTCTGGGCCTGTATCAAAACTCTATTGTCATTATGCGGATCTTGTTATTTCTGGGTTTCTCTCCTGATCTATTGGCCCATGTAACTATCATTACCCCAGTACCAGGCTATTTTGACAACTGTGGCTGTTTTGAGGTCAGATAGAGCAAGACCCTCAAATTTGTTCTTCTTTTTGAGGAGTTCTTTACCTATTCTGGGTTTATTCCCTCTCCAAATGAAGTAGGTAATTATTCTTTCCATTTCTTTGAAGAATGATGCTGGGATTTGGATCAGGACTGCATTGAATCTGTATATTGTTTTAGGTATTATTGACACTTTGAAAATATCGAGTCTTCCAATTCATGAACATGGGATGTTCTTTTTGTGTAAATCCCTTCTGGTTTCTTATAGTAATGTTCTGTAGTTTTCTTTGGACAGATCTTTAGTTTTTGTTTGTTTGGTTTTTACTTTTACTCCTAAGTATTTCAGCTACTGCATGGCTATTGTGAATGGTATTTTCTCCTTGATGTTGTTTTTGTCAGCGTTCCCAACACTGGCATATAGGAATCCAATTGGTTTCTGCTTGTCAATTCTCTATACTGCTACACTACCAAGTTCCTCTTTTATTTCCAGTAATCCTATTATGGACACTTTGAGATCCTCAATATATAAAGTCATATCATCTATAAATAGCAAAAGTTTTACTTCTTTACCCAATTGCACTGCTTTATTCCTTGCCATTTTGTCATGGGACTGGCTGACTTCCAGCCCAATGTCGAATAAAAGAGGGGATGAAGGACAGCCTTGACGGGTCCCTGATTTAATGAAAATGTTTTCAGGTTTTCTCCATTGAGTGTAATATTGGCAATTGATTTTCTGGATATGGTCTTTTGAGAATTGTATTGAGAATTTTCCCTTCCAATACTATAATTTTGATAGATTTTATTAGGAATGAGTTTTGGATATTATCAAATGCTTTTTTTTTTTTGCATCAAGTGATATGATCATATGGGTTTTTAGTCTTTTTTCTTGTTAATGTGGTGGATTGTGTTAATTGATTTTGAATGTTGAACCATCCCTCCATTTCTGATGTGAATCCCACTTAGTCATGATGTGTTATTGTTGGATTCTCTTGGTCAGGCTTTTGTTGCGAATTTTTGCGTCTATGTTCATGAGAGATATACTGGTAGGTCTATAGTTCTCTATCCTCTAGGGTCTTTGCCTGGTTTTGGAATCAGCTTTATACAGGCTTCATAGAATGACTTTGGAGTTTCCTTTTCCTTTCTATGTTCTGGAAGGGTTTGTGTAGGATTGGTCAGTTCTTCTCTGCATACTTGGTAGAATTCTCCTTTGAAGCTTTTTTTAGTTGTAACTTTATTGATGATCTTATCCATTTCTTCTTTGGCTAAGGGTTTATTCAAATTCATAATGTCTATATGTGGTAATTTAGGGTAGAGTGTTTTTCTAGGTATCTGTCCATGTCCTCCAAGTTATTGAATTGGTTGGAATACATGCTTTCATAGTACTGCATTATTAATCTTTTTATTTCGTTAGGACCTATGGTAGTTAAATAATTTCATGTCAACTTGAGAAATAAGTGTTGGGGAGGCATGTAGCTTGTCAGTTAGGTCACAGCCAGATGATGTCTCCTTTTGGGAGTGCTCTTCTCATGAGGATTCTGAGACCTTTTTCTCTTTCACCCTGGAGGCGAGCCACACACTCTCTCTGCTTCATCCTCCCTCTGACAAGCCATGTGGAGCCATGTTGAGATCTAGGGAGCTATGCCGCAGAGACCTGCATCAGCCCTGTGATGCTTCCACTACCACAGGATCCACAAG